TTTCTTATGTCATAATTATTCTTTCATTTATGCCTTTAACTTTCAATATTTGAATTTTTTATTTTAATTAATGTTTTTTGATTGTTTTAAAAAATCATAAAACTATTCTTTTTATTGTATACTTAAAAAATTAAAAATTTAATTCAATTATAATTTATTATTAATCTGTATGAGAGACCAATTCTTTATATTCTTTTACAACATTTTCAAGTACTGAAAATGCTTGTAGAAAATCATCCTCTTCTAAACCGAATTGTTTATATTGATGTAAAAATGCAGAATGAACATAAGATTTCCAAGTTTTATTTAAAAATATATCTAGAGAATAAGAAATTTGAGAATTATTGGTTATTAAAGCAAGAAATTTATCATGATTTAAAAATTTTCGATTTTGATGTAAATGAGTAAACCAATCAATTGTATTCCAATTTGCATATAAATGTTTTTCTTTAAGTATATTTTTCATTATAAGATCCTGTTCTGACATTGTTCCACGTGTTATTAAAACATTTGATACTGAAGTCGCATATGTATGATGTATAGTATTGCTTAATAAATTAGATGGCATTTTTAATTCAACATTAGTTAACTGTGAATTTAAATTTGGTATTCTAAGTGTTTGCTTTAAATGATGGATATATGAATTCCAATTATATATTGGTTCGTAGTTTGTAGATGTTACCGGTATATGTGGAGTACTTTTTATTATTGCTATTTTGTATGAAGGATGACATGCTATTTGAGATAATAATGAATTTATGTTATGTTTTTCATAATTTACTGGTTGAAATGTAGCTAATAATTTTTTTGAAATAATTTTATTCATATCTTGTAGATTTATAGATGATTTTTTTAATAAACTAGTACATATATTATATATTTGTTCATTTTCAAATAAAATATTTATATCACTTTCATTATAAAGTTTTGCTAAAGTTAATAATGTATTATAATTTTGTGTACATACTTCACCAAATGAAAATGGTAATATTGTTGTATTAAGAATTGATTTTTTATTATATTCTTCATGTAATAGTTTTGTAATATAACTTCCAATACCAGATCCTGTTCCACCTGCAGAACTTAATAATAAAAGAAATCCATCAAAATGATCTAATTTTTCTATTTCTTGTCTTATACAATTTAATATCACATCACTTAATTCATAACCTTTTATTAAATAACCAAATGCCCAATTATTTGCACAACCTCCTCCAGCTTGACAAATTACATTTTTTGTTGAATATGTCCATAAATTACTTTTGTTATTATAAATTTTATTTATGACTTTTTGTTCTGTATCTATAAGAATTGCTCTTGCTAAACGGTCATTACTTTTAGTTATACCACTAAACCATCTATTAAATGTATCTTCTATGTATTGATAATTAGTTTTATATGATACACCTGTATTTACACATTCCATATCAGTTGATATTTCTGAGAATAATGTATGTCCTAATTGATTTCCACATTGTCCAAATTGTATTGTAAGCATTATTAAAATATAATTTCATTTATAATTCAATATTATTCAATTCACTAATTTATTATATTATTATATTAAATAAATATATATTTTTTTGCTTTGATCAATTGGATGTGCATATAATTAATGCACGAAAACATGTAATTTGATTAAAATAATTTATATTTCAAAATATATTAGAAAGATTAATACATTTAAATATTCATATTTTTTTAATAATAAATTTTTTTATTATAAAAGTATCTATTTAAAGAATAATATATTCGATAAGTTATAAAAATTTATCACAGACAATCTACAGAATAGACTAGTAAGTGAATTTCATGTTCTATATTCTAAAATATCAATCAAAAAAAAGATTGAGAGATTATATTATAACCTTTAAAATATGGAGTGGCAATTTTAGGAACTATATTTAATTTAACTATTAAAGTTGGTAATATTAATAGATATAAAAAAATCTTTTTTGATATCTCTATATAAATATCGTAATGTTAAGTATTTACAAAGATAAACGAATATTATAAAAGCTTAAAATTTTGTTTCATTATTATCATATTTGTAACTTAACTATGCAATGTTGTATTGCTTTTTTTCAAATAATTAGCATGAAATCGAACACTGAAATCTATTAAATTCTGTATAATTTTTATTTAAATCATAAAAAAAAATTTTAAATTCATTGATATTTATTGATATCTTTGGATATTTTATTTAATAATTATAAAATTAAATATTTAAATTTTATATTTATAATTATTTTGATATAGTAACGAAAATAAATTGTTGGGAACATGAAAATCCCCAAAGTTAATGCTATAAGTTTCGTTAAGTTTAACTTCAACCATAATAAAGATTATTTATTTATTTAATTAATCTTAAAGAGGAATTGCTGTAATAATAAAAAGAACATTATATATTTCATTTGTATCTTGTTTATGATTTTATTGAAAAAAAGAAAAATAACATTTAAGATAAAATTATAGAATAAATTATAGAATAAATTTAAAATTAATTATTAGGATTGTTATATGATTTAATTAAAGATAAAATTTGTAAATAATTTAACAAATTATCACGAGATCACACAATCATAATATAAGATAAAATTATTAAAAATAGAAATAAAATTTATGAATTATTATAATGTAATTACAAATTATATTATGTTGAAATGTAACAATATGTTTAATAAAGAATCTATGTATTAATTATACGTGCATCATCAAAATAATCAAATTTAAAAAAAAATTTAATTGTATAATAAGAAATTATTCTCATAGATGTCGCTTAATAACTATAATTTTATTAATGAGATTTATATATTATAAATAACTAAAAAAAATAACTAAATAAAAAACTAAATAAATAAATAAATAAAAAAATAAAGAATAATCAACTTTTGTTCATGTGAAATTATCTTCTTATAATATCCAATAACAATTTTTATATAATTCATAATTCCGCATATATATACACATATAGAAAAAAAATATAAATTAAATAATGTAGAATAATTATATAGAAAGTAATGATTATGATTAAAATAATATTTAATTTCAGATAAATTAATTATAATATAAATTAATTATAAATAATAAATAAATAATTTATTACTTTATTAAAAGGATAAACGCATTTTATTAATTTTATTTTTTATATTTATTATTTTTATTTGGAATATAATTTTTTTTAAAAAAATATTTTGAAAACAATTTTTTTAAAAAATCACGAATATTCTTAAAACATATAATTGAAATTCATCTTTGAAAGAAAATTAATAAAAATAATATATGTAATTTAAAATAAAAAGAATATTTTATAATAATTTTTTTTTATGAAATTATAAAATTAGTTTTTAATAAATAGTTCAATGAATGCAAGATTATATTAAAAATGGATGAAAATGCTATTGATCGGAAAAAGATCTACAATAAAACGTTACGTAACTAAATGTATTTTATCTTTAATTTATTTTATCTTAAATGTATTTTATCGTAAAGAATAACATATTCTTTAATTATTTTTCTTTCTAATATATAAATAATATATATAATAACTTATTAAACTTATTAAATATTTTAAACTAACAAAATTCTATCATTTTTAACTAATATTTTTCACAAATTATTATTACACGATAATTATTTAAAGTTTAAAATTATTTAAAGAAGAATTAAATGTTTTTTTTAAAATAAATATACATCATTTTTACGAATAATCTTTAACAAAACATGAATGTCTTCTTTAAATTACTATAATTATTAATAACATTGATAAAATATAAAATTTAAATATTAAATAAATAACAAAATATGAAAATTAAGTATAAAACGACTATATAATATTCAATATAAAATTGAAAAAAATACAATTAATTTGTAAAAATTAATTGTATTAATTTATAAAAAAAATAAAAAATTCAAATGGAAATATTTAATATAATATGGAAATTTATCAATTTATATATCTCATATAGAGTATTGTTATCATGCAAAAAAAAAAAAGAAAAAATACGAAATGATGAATAACTATTGCAATGCAACGAATTATCTGTCATTATCATATCGTGTATAATTTAATGAAAAAATATTACGAACAAGTTGTACATTTGAACTCGCAACCAATATTAGAATGAAATTATAATACGATGATTAAATGTAGAAGTGTATAGAATTTCCAATTGAATGTGATGAAAGTAAGATGAAGAGTGGGGTTGGATACAATTTAGCGGCTTACTCAACAAATCATCAACAGTTCGTCATGACGACAAATCACGGACAGATAAACGTTGAAAAATCTTGTTTCAAGTTCTTTTTTATTGATTATTGCTCTTCTTATCACACAGTATCATAAAACAAAAAAGTTTTGTCAATTCGTGTCTACTATTAAAATTTTAAACACTTTTTTTTCATTTTTTTAATTTTTTAATGCTAACATATCGTGCTTTGAAATTTTCCTTCTTCAATCGTGCATGCCGCGTCCTTCGTAAAACTCGCTATACGTCATAAAGCAATGACGTAGAATTATGAAACGACAAAAGACGAAGCGAGAACTCAAGTGAATTAACCGATATTTAACATTTCATTCGTTTATCTATATTTGTGATGCACAATAACGTATCGTATATTTTTTTTGTGTTACATATTTTTATGAATCGAAGTTTCAATTTCAATTTCGAACTTTAATAACAACGTAGTGTCATCGGCACTAGTATTTGCAGTAGTGTTCGTACGTAGTGCGATAGAATCATTATGAAATATGAAACGTATATTTTGTGAACAAACTTTCAAAATCAGAATTTGCGCATCGCATATTCTAATAAGTAATATAATGAGTAATATAATAGTGTAATGAGTAATATGTATAAACAATTTCAAAATCAAAAAATTTTGAAAGAATTTTCTTTATCTATATTATTTTTCGGAGTGACAAGGAAAATTCATCCATAAAGACGCCATGTTACAAATTAATGGTCAAAAGCATTGAAAAAGTGATTGCAAGCAATGGAAACAATGATTTATGTGAGGTAATTTTTTCTGATTTTCTTAATATATATTGAAAATCAAAATTCAAAATCAAAATTGCATTTTATATTGTTGTTATTAAACATTTTATTATTTTTTTAATTCTTATAAATATTTGAGTCTTCTTATAAATATTTTTCCTGTCAGATTTGAATTTTTTTAATTTCTGACATTTGATATTTCATGATGTAAATTTTATTATATTTGACCTTCATTTTAATAATGTGATTAATAGCACAAATAAAATGATAAGTTATTTAAATAAAACATAATGAAATATAACCAATTTGTTTTGTTTTGTTATCAAATTTTTTAAATAGAGAGAAAAAGATACGAATAGATGTATATAAAAACAATTTATGTTATTTGTTAATTTGTTAATTTTAAAGTTAAAAATACTTTAATAATGTGAAAATTAATTATAAATTTATGATTTTTGAAATGTACATTTCTAAAATATGATAATGAATTTCCTAGGAATAAAATTTTCTAAAAAAATTTTCTAAATAATCAAAAAATCTTTTAAATGCTATTTATTTTACTATATTTTTTGTATAAAATAAAATATTCGCTTAATCATTTATAAAATGTATGCGAAATTTGTGAAACAATATGCCTAATGTTCTGGATTACAATATATTTAGCTAAATATAATACTAAATATATTTTAAACGTACATATATACTGTTAATGAGATCGTTTAGATCATATTACATATTAGTATAAATTGCAATATATATTAAAAAATACTTATATGTTTATCGCTAATGTCATTATTTAATTTTCAAAATCAGATTTCTCATTAATGAAATCTTATGAATACAATCAGAAAAATATTTTTTCTCTATCAAATATTATATATTTTTTCTATCAATATATTATATATTATAATATATTAAATTGTTTCTGTTTTTTATGAATTATTACATGAATTCGTGAATAATAATTAATAATAATTTAAATATATACGTATCATGTATATATAACATTATAACATGGCAGATAAATTCTTTTTTTCCTATAGTGCGTTGGTATGGTGACATCGGTGCAACAGCATCAACGAACGTTATCGGACGAGAACCAGGATAAAATAAGTAATATCTCCATTGAAGATCGTAATATCGAAAACTGTCAGAACGAGATAGTGCATTCTGTCAAAGATAGCACGGTCAGCATTACCGAAAATGACAGCATTGCCGATTCGTCTACGCAGTGCAGTAACGTAGAAGACGATAATGATAATGAAACGGATATCGAGGAAGGAGATTGGATACCTGATTTACCTGTACCAACGGTATTTCAACAACATCAAGAAGTAACAACCGCAGATGGCAATATAGTGTTACCTAATGCAGACATTTCAAATTTTGGTAATGTGCGCGTAAAGAATTCGACTAATGTGCATCTTGGTAATAAGACCTTTTATAAGGGTCCAGTGACAATAAAACAATTCGTTTACACGAATCCGACTTCAATACAGGATCTTGATACGGTGAAGAATAATAATATTATAGGATCGGATACCAACACATCTGACTTGTCAACTGCTAAAGGAGAGTCGACTGCGAAGAACTCAATTTTATCACAAAATCCTGATCTCGGTAACAATATTTTTTTTAAAACTCTTGATGATGTTTTTATGGAGATTCGTAAAAATGTTTCATAATAAAGGTAAAATCTGTTAGGTTTTATTTACGTAGCATAATATAGATTTCTTTAACTATTTTTTGAAACTAAATTTATATAAATATAGATATTATATGCAGATATATTATTTTAGCATATTCATAAATTGCATGTGTATATATATATGCAATCTTTCCTATTTTTACAATAGAATTAAGAGATGAGTATCTCTTTTGAATGTATATATTATTAATTATCTTTTCATATTTTGAAAATTATTTATAAATAGTTAAATATCTCAAATACTTTTGTTTTAAATATATATAAGTCTAATCTATTTTATTTATAATATTCTATTAGTTTGTGTAATGTTTAATTTTAAATTAATCTAAATTATTAAGGAATATTTTTATGAATAAAAGTAAAACTTTCGAGAATGATTATTATCGGAAATTAATAGAAAATGCAATTCGTTTCCATAAAAATAAGCAAAAAATATAAAATTCGAAGTTTTATATTTTATTTTAAATAAATTTGAAATCATTAAATAATAATTTAAATTTTGTTGAAGTAAATTATATTTTATTTTAAAAAAAATTTGCGATTAATATTAAAGTCAATAAAAGGTTAATGTAATATGTAATGATTCATGTAGATCAAAACTATTTTATTTTCATGATATCATTTTAAAAATATATTAATTTTTATTATAATAATAAAATGACTAATATGTTTAATAATTTTTGTAATCATTTATATACCTGAATAAAAATATGTACTTGTAATAATTTCAATCTTATTTAAGATTAATATATATATATATATGTAATTTTTAATTAATTGATATACAATTTTTTTTATTTCATTTAACATTACCCTTATATTGGCATAGATTACTTAGATATTGCATGCTGTGAATTTTATTACAAAAAAAAATGCTAGTAATTATAATATTTACGAAATACATTTACATATATTTTTTAAGAAAAGATAAAAACATTTAAAACAAGTATTATCAAAATCATTTATATTTATATAAGTAATAATATATATTTATACAATAATTAATATATTATTTTTTTTTTAATATTTTTATATTATTTTAGTAACAAAATGGTTGCGGACTTGGCGATATGCAGCGTTTTTGTGTATTCTAGCTTTAATTCTTGTAATTATTATGGTCATCGTCAGTATATATTTTACACGTAATTCTGCTATTCCGCCAGCCGTAGTTTTTCCGGAAATACCAGATTCTTTATTTGGAGGTAATATTTATAATTCTTTCAATCATCATATTATTAATCAATTTATATATTAACCAAATATAAATAATTAACCAATAATAAACTAATTAAATTACAATGATTAAATTGCAGATAAGATAAAAAATATCCGTTTTATTGAACGAAATGAATGGGGTGCTCAACCACCTACAACACAATTAACAAAGATGAAACTTCCGGTACCGTATGTGATTATAAGTCATACAGCAACACAATTTTGTAACACACAATCGGAGTGTACATTTTATGTTCGATTTGCACAAACGTTTCATATTGAATCTAGAAATTGGTCAGATATCGGTTACAACTTTCTTGTTGGTGGCGACGGATATGTATATGTTGGTCGCAGTTGGGATTATATGGGTGCTCATGCATTTGGATATAATAACATAAGTATAGGTATTTCTTTTATTGGAACATTCAATACGGTAAAACCACCTAAACAACAGTTATACGCTGTGCAAAAACTTATCGAATTAGGAGTAGAAAAAGGAAAAATTGCGCCAGACTATAAATTATTAGGACATCGTCAAGTTTCTCGAACTGTAAGTCCAGGTGATGCATTATATAGTGTTATTCAAACTTGGCCTCACTGGTCAAAAGAACCATAAAAAAAATTATTTTTTTTTGTATCAGTGATATTTCGAATTTTTCATTTTTATTATAAAAATTCCGATGGATATTTATTTGTTTACATAACTTTACTATGTGACAATGAAACTATTGTTTATTAATATACAATTTAAAACGTGACATTTTATATATATAATTTAATTATAAATGACATGTTTAGATATATTTGATATTAAATTATTATATATTAAATAAACATATTGATATAGATATTGTTTTAGAAATTAGTTGAAAGAGTATATATAAAAATTTTATATTTTTAATTGTAAATGTAATATATATTTTTTTATGTAAATAATAATATATAAATAAATTTTACATAGTAGTAGAAAAAATAATATATATATTGTAAAATAAAGAATTACCTAAAAAATATAATATAAAAAATATAATAATATATATAAAAAATATAATATAAAATTTTTTATTCTAAATATTGTATATATATTAAATATTTATTCTTATAAAAATTTCTTTAAAAAATTTATTTTATGATTCATTACATTAAACAAATAATACATAAATATTGTAGATTCTATTACAGTACGGTATCGTTTTCTGTAATTATATTAACAAAAAAACAATTCAATTTTTATAGTTAGAGGGCGCTAAATCTTGTTTTATAAATCATTAAGTCTTATTTTCAATATTGACACGTTTCGATAGAGAAATTTGTGAATACAAAAAGAATATAAGTGTTTTTTTTTTAATAAATTGATAGATTATGGAACACATTGTTTAAGGAAATTATTATTATTAACAGTATTTTAAAAGAAAATAATTGTACTCATAGCTCTTAAGAATTGAAAATTTTTACATATGTCTGCTTTGAATATAAAATGTAGTAAAAGTAAATTTGAATAATATCTAAATTCACATCTTAATACAATTAATCAATTTACTAAAAATTATTAATTTCAGACTAGTTATTAAAAAATGTTATAAAAAAATGTAATGAATAAAAGAGAACAAGTTGAGGTTGATGATAGAAACTGATGACGTGCATGCGATGACGACACAAGCTTTCATATATAAATATATGATTCGTGTATAAATTGTGAAGATTTAGTATCATTAATTTTTGTGTGGTATGCTCAAGTCACTTTCATATAGTAATTTTTTCCCTATGGTAGGGAATTTTTCTCTTTTAAATTTTCGCGGTTTTCTGTAATTTTATAAAATGTGCTTGTAATAATATGTATCATAATAAAGTGCATAGATAAAATATAGTAAAACGATTAGTTTAGTATTTTCTAATATATTTATAATAATTATTAAAATTTTTTTTATTTATAAATACACTAGTATTATATAGCTTTTTTACATTAAAATCACTATATTTATTTATAATTAAATTATAATTTTATCTTTTAACATGTTTAATGTTTATAATTGATATAATGATTTTTTTTAATATTATATGATTTTTCTTAAATATTATTAACTATTCATCTTATATATTCATCTAATTCTTTCATTTAGAAATCTTATTTTCTTTTTTAACTTTTATTGATTTTTATACTTAATTAAATATTTTTAAAAGTTATATATTTGTTTAAAAAATGCTTTAATCTATTTTATATTAATATTTTTTTAATTATAAATGCTTTAAAATAAGTATTATAACCTCAAATCAAAATTTACACTTTTTTTATCACTTTGAATATTTATATATTATTTTTATTTACTACAATTATAATATTTATATATTATTTATGAATGAATTTCAAAAACATTGTGATATTTAAATTAATTTTTTAAAAAAACCATTAACACTTCATCTTCTAGTTTAGTTCTCGTTCTAATGTTATAATAAGACTCTTGTTACTAGCAAAACAGCATTGCCAAGTTTAACATCATGATTTATATTTAAAGTATAGGTTGTATACATGTTTATAATTTTTTGATTTATATGTCAATATTATTCTCATATTAAAAAAATGTATTGTATATGAATTTTAAATTTTAAAGATAACTATTTTAACTGATGTGTTTCTATGTATTGAGTATTGACAACCATATTACATAAATCCATGATACATGTAATATGGTCATAAATGCTTTTCCGATATATAAAAAGCGAAAAACTTGTGACTTAATTTAAAAAAAGATTATTACAATTTTTTTATAATAGTGAAAAAACATTTATGAATTTAAATATTAGCAGATAGTAAACAAGAAAAGCCGCGTATAATTTTCAGTTGTGCTAGGAGGGGCAATGCACCATGGGAACAATTTGTGACAGGCGCATGCGCAGATCAGTTTACAGTTGGAGCTTGGAAGAAAATGGCGTCAGCTAAGTTTCTGGAGGAAGCTCTGAGCACGGACGTCGATGAATCCGCAGTGAACGCGATAGTAGGCTCCCTTGAAACCCAACTGGTAACATCGACGCCGGTTATCAAGTAAGTTCTGCGTCAATCAGTCAGCAGAATCATTAGGTGAACAGTGGTATTTCCAATGGAGACACCATCACCGCGGTACAGTCACAGAAACATGGGGTTGTGGTGCTGTGGCGTGCGGGTTGAAGGCGGCGAGCACTCGCGAGAAAATGCTCGTATGCTTGTCCCTCTGGTGGCGAGGATAGGAAGGGCCGTCAAAACACCCCCCTGCCAAGGGGTCTAAGATACGGGCCTGCCAATAAACTTACTGACGAGTTCGCTGGCAGGCCCTGAACGAAACGATCTTCCTTTTCCCGCCTTCTTTCCTCTCTCTCCTCCTTCTGATCCCGCTCACATCGTATAAAAGTCAAATCTTCGTGAAACCCCTCCCAAAACCTTGGGGGGAGTGGATGGCGGCTCCTCAGCCACCTTTGCAAACAGCCGGTGAACGGCGCCACTTTGCAGACGCTGATTGCGCGCGCTTTCTTCTAGATTCTTCCAGATTCTCGTTTGCTCTCGTCGATTGTCCACGTGCCTTCATTCCCTTTTCACGCGCCGCAGCTTATACATATTCGCGTTTATACGGTCAGCTACTAATTTATTATTAGAGTTAATTCTTTGTACAGACTACTTAATAAATTATAATTATATTTAAATCATCGCGTCTCATCAGCAATAGTATACTTAACCCCTCCTCGAACATGTGCATCCACAGGGTTTCAAACGGCGGCGGTGCTACTACAGTAAATAGTCTGATGAATCAAGAAGTTACAAAGTCCATTACTACGAGTACTCTCCTCCCTGTTAATGTGGTTACCTCAAACACAGTGGCGCCACAAGTTACTACACAACAGCAACAGCATACACAATCAGCAGTCCCCCCTGCTGCTTATATTAATCAAGTTACTACGAACCAGGTGACCAGTAATCAAACAACAAATATACCAAGCCTTACTAAAACACATGAGCCTGTCAAGATTATCTATCCAACTGTTGGTCAAGTAATAGCAACCACAGGGGTAGCAAATGCAAATAACAAACTTTCTTTTCCTGCACAAACTGTTGGACAATTAGCCAATGGTACTTTAGGAATAACATCGCAGGCAGTGTTACAGACAACATCAAATGTTGTTTCTAATGTTGGCTCTGTCAGTGAAACAGGCAGTCAAACAGTTGCTAGTGTAAATAAGCAGACAGGTACAGCTTTGGTGATAAAAACTAGTGTAGCACCCAGTGGCATGGTTTCGGTTCCAATGTCTGTTCCTGTTTCTGTGGCTGGCAATGCAGTCAGCACAGCACTACAGGGTAAAGCTGGAGTTACATCTACAATAGTACCTAGCAATGTGCAAATTCTTAATGTTAATACAATGCGTCCTGGCACACCAGTGACAGGACAACAAACAGGAAAACAAGTTGCACCTAGAGTAGTGATTGGTCAACATATGCTTGGAACAAGACCTGGAGCTCCAGGGGTAAGATATTTGTACTTGATAAACAATATACATATATTTTTGAAGGTCATGATCATTCCATTAATTTATATATATTATGTTTATTGGTTTTGTTATTCTGTTTTAAGAATATATTATATAAAATATTTATATATATTAATAATTTTTTATAAATATTTATTTTTGTTTAATATGCATATTGAATACTTTAATATATTTTAGTAAAATTTTATTTTAAAAATTTTCAGATAACATTACAAACATTACATGGTCTCCAACCTGGAACTCAAGGTCATATATTATTAAAAACAGAAAGTGGGCAATATCAATTACTAAGGGTAGGGCCACCTCCAACAGCAGGTACACCTGGTACTGCAGTTACACCAAATAGTATAGCAGGAAATGCAGTGGTTGCTGCACCATCTCCAGGCACTACCTATCGCTTAGCCTCAGTGCCGGCTGTAAGTAGGCTGAACACACAGTTCACTGGCCCACCACTCGCCACCTTAAGAAAATCTGTTCAGGTGACGTCTTATACCTCTTACAAGACTCGATGTAGTGCGATAGTAGATTTTTAGTTTATGCTATTAGTTGGAATGGTGTTATTGGTAAGGCTATGTATTATGTTTATATTCTTTCATTCTGTCTTTATGTTGTTTCTGTTATATAAAATTTTCTTTAAACTGATTATACAAATATCATTTGACATGTAAAAGAAGTTTTATATTTATATATTATAATTATTATAAAAATTTGTAAAAGCTTTCAGTTAATATAAGATTGAAAGGTTTTATAAAGTATATAGAGAGTTTTGTTTTCTTATTGGCTTATTTGTTGGGATGCCTCTTTATTGTAGAATTTCTACATTTTTAAAATGTGTAATTATTTTATTCAATTCAATGCTGTTATTATATGTATACATATTGCATGTTATATCGGTTAAGGGTATCATGGAATAATTATTTTAATTTATTTTTTAAATTTTGAAAGATTATAATTAAAATTTAATATACATATTTTAAAATAATGAAACTTTTTTCATATAAATATGTAATTTTTATTTTTATCTATCTTCACAAAATTTTATAAACTATTTTATGATTAAGTGATAATATTTATATCTAATATAATTAAAAATCATCAATAATAAATATATAATTAACGTCATAAATTCTTTATATACTAACTTTCTATTAAATTTTTATGAATATTTTAATAATTTAATACATATATGGTTAAATAAGAAACAACTAA